GAGTACCCCCCCTACCCCCCCCCCCCCCCCCCCCCGGCAACAGATAACGTCGCGTCCTCGTAGTTTTCTTCCCTGTCCTATCCGAAGATCGACCTCCCCCCCGCCCGCCCCCCGCCCCCCCGCGGGCGCGCACGCTCGGAACGCCCTTGCAGTGGCAAAAGACAATGGTGCTGTCGGCCGTGATGGTGCCGTCGATTCTATTCCCGGTGGTTTTCGTGCTGAACCTCGTGGCGATGCACTACAACACGGTCAACACCATCCCCTTCATGGCGGTGTTCAAGATGGCGCTTATCTGGGTGTTCGTCTCCTTCCCGCTGTGCGTGGCCGGGAGCATGTTCGGCCGGCACTGGGGGGGCAAGGGCAACTTCCCCTGCAGGGTCAACAGCATCCCGAGACCGATCCCCGAGAGTGTATGGTGAGAAGAGCAGAGCAATAACGTGTATCGTAGATGCGTAGCGTCCGGTGGTCATGGTACAGTTCCTTTTTTTTTGGTACGTGGTCTCCGTTGCGGGCATCTATTTTTGTCCATTTTCGTGGATCAGGCCAGGCGTACGCGCCACTCACTAGTGCAGCGTGCGAGCCTGAACTCACCACCGTGTCCCCGTCCCTGTCTTTTCTTTTTCTTGTTATTTTTTTTTTTCGATCTCTTTCCTGTCTATTTTTTTGTCCTTTCGAATCATTGTTCGAACCCGCGCAACCGCTGGAACTTGCCAGACAATCGCAGCCGGCGATCCTCTTACAGCGATGCTGCACAGCAGGCAGTCTGTTTCGAAAGTAAGCTGATCATAAAGACTGCATCTTGAACAGCCTATTGTTTATCAACTTGAACTCCCGAACGGAAACTCCCTTTGGTGTACCATGTAGAAGTGTATTCCCTAACCCCCCCCCCCCACCCCCCCACCCCCTACCCCAGGTACTCGCAGCCGAACGTCGTGGTTCCATTAGCGGGGATCCTGCCGTTCGGTAGCATCTTCATCGAGATGTACTTCATCCTGGCCTCGCTGTGGGCATACAAGTACTACTACGTGTACGGCTTCGTGCTTCTGGTGTTCGCCATTCTGGTGGTGGTGCTGGTTTGCACGAGCATCGTGGCGGTGTATTTCGTCCTCAACGGGGAGGTGAGAAAGAAGTCAAAGGCGGCGTGTTTGTTTTGTGTGCTCTCACCTAAACCTTGCTCGCACCCTGAGAGCGTGTGGATATCATTGCCTCGACTGGTAGCGGTCTCTCCTTCCCCCCCCCTATTTTTGTTGTGTTTGCTCGCCAAGCGCTTTTAGATTACGCTGAGTGAGGGGTTCAGCGACGCCCGTCACACCGTTGTGTCTTTTGTGTTTTGTTTTTTGCCGTGCGACTTTTTGTTTTACTTCTGTCACCACCAATGTTACCATGGCGCCCCCCTGCTCCCCTCCCATGGTGTTCAATTGGCTTGCTGACGTTTCGCGCTAGTTGTAACGCCAGGCTGTCCGGTGAAATTCCTGTCATTTGTTGCATGCTGGTTAATGATGCAATGTGAAGGTACTGTACATGGTCTGACTCCATCGACCATGTTCGGCTACAACCCCCCCCTTGCGGCCTGCTCCGTCCCTTGCTCCTCGAACACAAAAGCAGATGCGCACTAGATGGCCGCAAAAGCTAACGCAAGAAAAAAAAAACACGTGCTCGTTCCCACCCGCCCTGTTTGTCCTACCCTATCTGACTACCGGAACGCTGGGGTCTCGCAGAACTATCACTGGCAGTGGGTATCTTTCTTGAGCGCGGCGTCTACCGCTGGCTACGTTTTCCTGTACTCTGCCTACTACTTGTGGTTCAAGACACGCCAGAGTGGCTTCATACAGATCTCCTTTTATTTCGGATACATGTGAGTGTGTGAGAGTGAGAGGGCTATTGTATTCGTAGAGAGGGGTGTGGGCAAGTACGACGCAGCAATGGGGAGGAAGAGAGACGCACACAGAGAGCAGAGAGACGGACAGCCGTGCATGCCGTAGTCGTTGGACCATTGACCTCGCATCCCTACAAGGCCGGGGCGGGGGGG